TAATCTATTCTCGGGTTGGTGAGACTGATTAGGCCTCTAGCAATGGAGAACATGTATGCTAATCTACCGATAAATAAATAATAGGCATGTAAATTCAGAAAAAAAATGGAGGAAAAGAAAAAGAAAAATTAGACTAAATTACAAGGTATGACTACAATAGTGATTCTAACATATAAAAAAAATAACATATAAACTAAAACCTAAGGTTGCCAACAGCTTTGTAAAAGATGACATTGTGTTCAAGAATCTTAAGGTGTCCGAAACGTTGTTCCAAGTAACGGCCACTGAGAATTTTAATGATTTTAAGGCAAAGCGAGTGGTATTACAAAAAGCACCAAGCTCTAATTAGTTTCGTAACTTTTCATGTAATTATGAGCTCGTGCCATGTTCTAAACCTATTAAAAAAAATTGCGTGTGATTACCTACAGCACAACTGCAAGACGAGCTATCTTTGTGTAGGACGACCAAATGAATTATTTTTGTTGGCTATATATATTTATTTATTTGTTTATTTAAACATTAATTTATTAATTTTTGTATTTCACTTGATTCGTTGCCACTGACGATTCGCCTTAACATAGGATACATAGTCTCGAATGGAGCAATATTAAGTCATAATATTATTTGAGCGCACAGAAGACAACTGTACTAACGTTAATAGTATATAACTATCTATAGGAGACAACATATTTAGTACAAAGGCCAACGTAAAACACTTACCCTGCTTCTCCTTGAGATCCATTGTTGTGGACTTCTTAGCGAAAGCAAAGCAACATTTGGACAAGAGACACAAAGAGATTTTTTTCAGTTAGTGTTATCAACGAAATTTTAATCACAACATTGTCACGAATGTAGTACCCATACAAACGAAGCCACAGTGCCGGTTGAATGTGAGATGAATGTCTCGTCTTGAAATCCGATACTCGATACAGGAAGAAGAAGAAGGAGAAGAATAAACAACAACAACAACAACAACAACAACAACAACAACAACAACAACAACAACAAAAACAAAAACACAAAAACACAGGGAAATATCCCACACCCATACATGCCGTCACATATAAGCCAAATATAACGCCTCGAAGGAGTTGTCGAATACTCAAGGTTCTATTGACGGGCATCCAATTAGGTAGTAAAAACTGTGGTATTTAAGTGTGTGATGCAGAGATTCTGGAAAACATTACTTGTTATGAACATCAACAAAATGATACTCAGGCAATTGTCCGGCACAGCCGTTCCAAAGTAACAAGAAGTACTATTGCTCTGCCTGGATTTCTTCCATCTGCCGTAATAAAGTGGCTAAAAAGTAAAACACTCACCCTTAGGGTCCCTCTTTTTACACTTTCTTTTTTTGCGAACATACCAGACTACACCTCCAGCAACAGCCAGCGCAGCAACTACCCCCAAAACGACACCAACAATAATCCACGTCGTACCTACAAAATGCAACATCCATCAACATTCACTTTACGTCAGTGGTTTTAACTTGGTCACCCATGGACCTTTTTCTTCTCAAACTTACTCCTTTAAATCTACGAGACGTAAATTTATTATCCACGATAAAGTTTGATTTCTAATGAGTTGCACACGTAGCCATTAAGAAATCAACATGCAATCATTGGTAATGCTACAAGAGAACAATCAATTAACTATGGAAGTTACAGCCGCCTTTGCTGTAAAATTTAGAAACTAATGGGAAACCAAGAGGCCTGATGTTTACTACACTAGACAAAAGATCGGCCAGCGGTCTAGAGTTTTAGCCTGGCCTGAGGCTCAAATCTTATGTCTTTGGGCAGCACCCTTTATACCTATATCAAGGCTCTGACAGTTAATCTCGAGCAGTCACGTTAGTTTTAAATTTGTCATATTTTACATAGTTGAGCACTTATGATTGAGGTGTATACCTAATGGCAGATTTACAGTCTTATGGCATGTACAATGTAGTTTATTACAAATCTAATCCCAAAGTTGAAGTACAAATAATTCAAAATTTCCATACCATAGACAGTGTGGATGACAACTGCAGAATGAGCCTCAAGTAAGTAAGTGTTAGTTTATAATGTTCTATTCGGCATTTAAGAGGTCTGCATCACTATAACACGTATGTACGGCTTTGATTGACACCGGAGGGTTCCTTGGAAGGTTTTAACCAATAGAGGTCGAACGACTCAGTACCGTTAGTCCATAGTTAATAGAGGAGAATGGTCCCCCTATTAACTATGGTCTGTCCAAAAATCAAATTGCTGCACATGCCCAGCACAAGAGTGCAATGGACACTTAACGACAAAATAACATACAATATGAAATCTTGATCCCTCCATTTAATCTAGCAGTACATGGATGCAAAAGATCTTTTGTTATCTTGTCTAACCAACTCAAAAATTTTGGATTTTTATAGTTTTTTGAAGAAGACACCAGTCCACCCAATACAAAATCAAAATATACAATGGACTGCTTACTATCAGATGAACTGGTAGGTGTTGTGGTAATGGTGGGTGTTATCCCAGTGCCTCGTGTTCCTTTTATGGCACTCACATGAAGATCTTCAAACCTTCCATTCTTGTTAGCATCTCGAAGTATAGAAAGAACCTCGCTTTCTCTTACAGTGGAATTGAACTTCAGGGCCAGATCAACGATCACACTTCCACACCTTGGAAGAAAAACAGCGACACACTCAAGTTCAAACTAAAATGATGACCAAAATGAACAGAGGCTTCTTTCACTTCACAAACTCTCAGATGGTCAAAAATCACACCAACCAAAATGTTTGAAAATTGATGACGTGGAGCGAATTTCTTTTGACATTGAGCATGTGTAATCGTTACAGCTCGTTTTTTGTTTGACGTTCCAGTTGGTACACAAATAAATTTGTTACCCATTAGATTTTTTTGTTTGTCTCTCTGTACGATGAGTAACAAGAAAGAATGAGTTTATGGAGAATGCATTGTTCGATGAAACAGTCAAAACCGGTTATATCAGATCACATCAAGGGAAGAATATTTTGTGTGTACGAGTAACCGTTCGTTAAACCCAACCAAAACCTATGCGCATTTGTTTAACACTCTTCAAAACATTAAAATTTCTCTATCCCTCCGTTTGTTGTTTGCATTCTGTTTCCGCGTAATCACTTCCTGGT